ATCAAGAACGGTGGTGTGCAGGTGGACGAGTACTCGCGCACGAATGTTTCCAACATTTACGCCATCGGTGACGTCACAAATCGTGTCATGTTGACACCCGTTGCCATAAATGAAGCCGCTGCCCTTGTGGATACCGTCTTTGGTACCAATCCGCGAAAGACGGACCACACCCGTGTGGCGAGTGCCGTCTTCTCTATTCCTCCAATTGGTACCTGCGGTCTCATTGAAGAGGTTGCATCCAAGCGCTACGAGGTGGTGGCGGTATACCTTTCCAGCTTTACCCCGCTCATGCACAACATCAGCGGATCAAAGTATAAGACTTTTGTTGCAAAGATAATTACCAACCACTCCGATGGCACTGTGCTTGGTGTACATCTTCTTGGGGACAATGCCCCAGAAATCATCCAAGGTGTTGGTATCTGTCTCAAGTTAAATGCCAAAATATCCGACTTCTACAACACTATTGGTGTGCATCCCACAAGTGCGGAGGAGCTGTGCTCCATGCGCACTCCTTCTTACTACTATGTTAAAGGTGAGAAGATGGAAAAGCCTTCAGAGGCATCTCTGTAAGGAAAGAGGATGAATCCGTAAAAGGGAGAACCTGAAAGGAAGCAAAACTGCCTTTTGTAATTATTTAATTAAGAACAATGAAAAGCAAAAAGGAAAAACGAAAACTAAGAGCAGAAGCAAAAAGTGCGAGGGGGGAGGAGTCCGTTATCTTACCACCCACCGTACGAAAAGAGGTTGTCCTGGGGAGGCGCTTCTTATTTGGGCCACTCCAGAAACCGCTTCTTACCTCTCGGAAGTCCATGTATCAACATTGTTTTGCAGGATGTCATTAACTTTGGGAAAGGCATTTTTTTTCCCCGTGGCATTTTGTGGGAATGTAGAAAAGGGCTCCGCGCGGATGGGGCGGAAATGAAACAACAATTTAAAAAAAAAAAAAAAAAAGATAATATGGGACAAAAGAGGAAGGAAGTTGTTTTTCGTTGTTTCCTCTCCGGTATGGCGCGCGCGTGCCTGTGGATGCTGGGGGCGGGCGAGAAAGACAAATGGCATTCATGACTTCCGTATAAAAAAGACGGAGGGGGGAGTCCAATTAATGTATTTTTTTTTTTTTTCTCTCTCTCTCTGTTGTTTAATGTGAGTGGTTTTTTTCGTTTAGCGAATAGGAAAGGAGGGTGATGAGCGAGTTTGAACAACTTGGCATTCACCAGTGGCTATCAAAACAGTGCGCCTACATGGCGTTGCAACACCCCACACCCATCCAGAGGCTTTGTATTCCCGCAATTTTAGCTGGCAAGTGTGTGGTTGGAGGCGCAGCCACTGGTAGCGGTAAGACGGCGGCATTCGCCCTCCCAGTGCTGCAAATCCTCGCTGAGGACCTCTACGGGGTGTTCGCCCTTGTATTGACACCATCCCGCGAACTTGCTTACCAAATCGTGGATCAGTTTGTGGCGCTTGGCGCACCGCTGCATATACGCACCGCCATTATTATTGGCGGCTTGCCGCACGAGCAGCAGCTGGATGCGTTAAAAGCCCGCCCACATGTCGTTGTCGCCACGCCGGGTCGCCTGAAATTTATGTTGGAAAAATTCCCGGAGGCTCGCAAAGCCTTTCTACATCTGCGTTTTCTTGTGCTTGACGAGGCTGACCGACTGACGAGCGATGACATTGAAACCGATGTGGAGGAAGTTGTTC